GGAAAGAGACAATGCACACGAAGAGAAATGATAAGGCTAAGAGGAAGGCAAGGCGAAAGAAGGTGAAAGGAGAGAGCAGCAAAAGTAAGATGCGGCATAATCATGGGGTGATCTTCCGGCAGCGATAGGGGCGACTCCGCGACGATTTATCGGGACTGCCCTCGACCAAGCGGAGGTAGACTCACACACACAACAAGACTGCATATCGGATCGAATTAATTCCATACAGCTGTTTGCCTCGCGGTCCACTTTTTCTTTCGTGAGCTTGTAGCGCGACCAACCCCTACTCCAACCACCGCCGTCGCTACCGCCTCCGTCCGTTGCCAACACCATAGCCGCCGACGGATCCATATCTATTAATGCTGTTCGTGCACGCTCCTTTCGGTTAAACACTTGCCGCCATTACTCTACCACTTCCTCCGCATCCCCACCCCCTGTCCAATTCCGAACTGACTACTAACTGGCCCCTATAAACAGCGGCATTGCTAGAACCATTGTCGTTCTCGTCCTCGTCGCGATCGTCATTGTCGTTAGCGGAACGGCATAGATTATTTGATGAATTTTCGGGATAACGAGGACAGCGAGTGCGCTACTCGTCGATCAATCCCCACGAGCTTTACTTGTGTGAGACGATGTTTACGATCGCGCGTTAAATGCGGCCGTAACCGCCAGGAGGCTATTACGAAGAAATTACACTGAATGATAAATCTGTGGATTGTTCAATGCACGTCCGATTCGATTAGAATGGCAGATGATTGGACTGGCGCCGCATTGAAGTGCGCTAAGATGTTGAAAATTCCTACTTTAGTCGTAAACTTATGGCGGAAAACGGGTAAATGTCCCGAGCTCGGGAACTTACCTGCTGCTTTCGTTAAAAGTATGAAAAATTAAAACGAACTCGTAAAGCTGTAACTAACACTGTATTATCAACGGGGTCTTGGCTTCCCTCTTGTAAATACAAATTTTCCCCAATTAATTTTCTCCCCTTGCACCTGCTTTCTTCCCAGAAATTCAAGTCGAAATTAGAACGGCAGTAAAATAAAAAGGTAAAAGAAAATAATATATAATAAAAAAAAAAAAAAAAAAAAAAAAAAAAAAAAGAAGAAGAAATTTTTGATTTATCAGAAATTGGGAGGCGCAGTTTTTACTGGCACCTTTTAAATTCAATTTTTAAAAATACTCCTGGTTTCAGCGCATATACCAACATTATCGTTTCAACGGTATTTTTATTTCTATTAGTAACATAATAAACTTTACGAAATTTGGCCATTTTAACAGTAGTTTCACAAAAACAATAGATATATTATAACTATGCCAGCCTGGAAAAGATAAGCACAGTATTTCCATTGATTATGTAATGAAAAAGAAATAGTGAAATAGGTCTAAAAATGTTTATTTTTTCAATGCTTATTTACAATAATTTCTTCATTTAGTTTTATTTTTACTAGACTCTCGATATAGCTCTGTTTTTACTTCACCTCTTTGTCATTAACTCATTAAACTGTTGTAAGTACAAAACAGCATATCTAATAAATATAGTTGGTTCGTTTAAATGTATATGTGTGTATATATTCCTCTAATATAAAAGTACAAAAAAAAAAAAAGATTATAAATGATAAACTATTTCTAGTAAAGCTGAAAACATTATCAAGATTTGTGGAATCCCAGACCATTAGCTCAAAGGAACGAATTAATTTCCCTTCTATAATGAATAGTTCAAGAAGAACGAACCAATCAAGCAATATG